AAATATCTATGTCATGTGTAATGTAGCATGTCACGGCAGGCTATACAGATTGGCACTCAAAGCATTATAAATTGTCACATTCAGCGAGAAACTGTATTCATACTCAGGGACTAGATGTGGCCAGCTAGTGTTCCCATGGTTAATTAACATTCCACCAAGTTAAAAACTGAAGGTGAAGATATATGCTTGATTTTACCCACACAACAAAATAACAATTTAAATATCTGTCTGTCTAACCTTATACAGTATTGTCCCCATTGATCCTTCCTTAGACAGATTTAAATAGAAATTATATACACAGTTCATGTAGCTTTGCTCCTTGTATTGTTTATTCTGTTTTAATTACTATTTGGCAGGGTTATTGGACTTCTTGAATATACTAGAAAGAAAAACTTCTGTGGAATTTTGTTCCCATATCAGTTTATCATGTACATACATGTATGCACTATGTTTGATTTTTTTGTTCCAAGTTTTTTGTTTGGCTGAATTATTGACCCTCTTTTGCTTATTATTTTGACTTATGGCCAGGACAACTCCCAAATTAACCCATGGATTCAGATGACACTTAAAATTCACAGGAGTTGCACATGTCTTGAAAAATCCTTGAAAATGACTATGAGCTTTCAAAAATCATTAAAACATCAATAATTTATTGAAAGTGAATAAAATTTCCCAAATGCTTGTGTGATAAAACTTTATATTATTTGCGGAAACTAGATACACATCATCATTTCATGGGAGATGTACTTGTTATTGATGCATCAACAAAAGTACAAACAATAATATTTACACAAGACAATAGCTAACCACAATACCATCTGGGTTTAACAGAATTGCCATCTTAGTGAAACACTGTTTAAACACTCACTGTTGCACATGAACGTTTCATGGATTTTTCCACAATAATAAATACTTTCTCTAATGGAAAACATTTATTGAAGTTTTCTGGTAATCCCTCTGTATTTTCTAGATTCTCTCTTAGAACTGTAATCAAACTTTTTGTGTGATGGTAAAAATGTGAGACTTTATCATTACAGAAGTAATAAAATCAGAGTCTCAACCGCCTCCTGCCATGATTACAGGTTTTATCAGTAAATAGCTGTACCATCACTTCACACATAAAACTTAGTCCATAGGCCTAGCAGAAGCTTCATATAGCGATCAATTTCAGGCTCCAAGCCAAAACCAAGCCTGTCTTATCACCAGCAAAATGATCATCCCTTCATTAATTGTATATGTTAAATCACCTGCAATTATCTGCTGAGCATATGTGCACCCTGAGCTTTGGAAATAATTTGTACCAGGTTGTAATTGTAGCTTATTGGTTTTCTAGGCACTTCTGAACTAGCTATAGGTTTTAGTTAATTTATATATTACATGTTCTAGCCACAGGTCTCTACTACATCGTATCACATTAATAATATTAACTCATTCACCCTAAAGACACATTTGAACTCTTCCAATTCAAAGGTATGAATACTTCATTATGAAATTTCAGGGTTGAATAAGTTAAGGACACTTCTGAACTTAGCTGTGGGCCTCAGTACCATTTTGACCACATACTTATAATTATGATAGGTTTAATTTAAAAAAAATGTGGAACTGCCAACTTCATTAGTCCAGGAAACTCTTACACACCAAAGCGTTCCACTTTTTTGAAATTATTTGTAATTGTCTAGACAATTGAAGTATATAAGGAATGATTTAAAGGGCTATTGATAAAGGTCTGACTAGATACACTGTATTTATTACAGGCATTTGTATAACCAAGAAACTGAATTATCATTGAATTTGTAAGAACATTTTGATTGTGAAAGCCTCAATAATTTGGCTGATTTGGTGTAGCAGTGAGGTAATTTGTAGGAGTAATCAACTTCCACATGTATGTTTTCTACAGAAGTTAAGCAAACATCTATAAATCTCAAGTTTTGAGTGAATAGGTAGTTCAATCAGAGAAAAAAATGTGAAAAACTGTTTGATATTTCCTATAAATATATCTGGTATGAAGAATATGTTAAACAATTAAGGTACTTATAGTGAAGCTTATGAGGTGTAAGATACAGTATGTAGTCAATATGGTAAGCTTCACCCTGACCTGGCTGTGGACAGCTATCTCACATCTGGTGAGAACTTCGGCATGTCTAACACACTAATGTTCCTGATATACATAGACAGATCAGAGCATTTACAACTTATTAATGACCTTGACAACTAACAGATCACTTTCACCTTGTTAATACCTGCTGATGTAGTCAATATTTCAAAACTGATTGTCCTGGCTCTCCCTAGTAATGGCATGCTAACCTACTGCATGACCTTGGTGAAGTGTAATAATGCGACCTTCATGATGAGATCACCAGTCACAAGAGATGACTTGTTTTATAAATATATGAAAATCATCAATCAGTCAAACAAATGATCTGAGACCTGGTTTCCCTATTTCAAGATGCGAACACCAACTAAGTGCACTGTACATGTACGTACACACCAACAGGGTATACTAATGGAGGGTTTGACATTGTGGTTGACCTTGACCCCTTGAATGTTTTCCTTAAGTAAGGACTGGCATCAGTCGCTGTATCATTTTGTTGATGTTTACTGTAGTGTAATTACAATATCACATGTAGCTGTTCATACTCTGTTCTTATGGTTAAAAATATGACCGGCTTTGTACACACAGCTATTATTAGCTCACCTGGTCCAAAGGACCAAGGTGAGCTTATGCCATACCGTGGCGTCCGTTGTTTGTCTGTTGTCCGTCCGTCCATACGTCAACAATTTCTTTAACCGACTTCTTCTTCTTAACCACTGGTTGGAATTAAACTAAATTTGACTGGAAGCATCCCTAGGTGGAGGGGATTCAAAATTGTACAAATGGAGGGGGTTACCCCCAGGGGGCTGAGGGGCGGGGCCAAAAGGGGTCAATTTGGCTATATTGCTTTAAGCGACTTCTCTGGAACTAAGAAGTGGATATCAACCATATTTGACTGGAAGCATCCCTAGGTGGTGGAGATTCAAAATTGTACAAATGGTTGGGCTGACCCCCCAGGGGGCTGTGGGGCGGGGCCAAAAGGGGGCAATTTGGTTATATTGCTATAAACGACTTCTTCTGCAGAACTATGCCATTTATATTGATCATATTTGGTCGGAAGTATTCATGGGAGGCAGGGATTCAAAATTGTACAAATGGTGGAGCTGACCCCCCGGGCTAAAGGGTGGGGCCAATAAAATGTATTACTTGGAAATGGTTGAGATCCCCACCATATAACCATATATACAATTGCTGAGTATAAAGAGAAGAATGCACATTTGCTTCCAGGATGTCCCTAGGGTCTGGCCCCACCCTTGGGAGACATAGTCCCTGGGCCATAACTTGAAAACGGTTGAGATCCCCACCCCAAAACTATATATACAAATGCTGGGCATAAAGAGAGGAATGCAATCATGATATCAGAATAGACCCTGGGGTCTGAACAACCCCTAGGGACCTAGTTTCTTAGTCACAGCTTTGAAACAGTTGAGAGCCCCACCCTATAACCGTATATACAATTGCTGAGTATAAAGAGATGATTGTACATATGCTTCGAGGTTGGCCTTGGGGACTGCCCCACCCTTGGAGACTTAACCCCTGGGTCATAACTTTGAAATGGTTAATATCCCCACCCCAAAACTATATATACAATTGTTAGGCATAAAGTGACGAATGCAGTCATGATATTAGAATTGATCCCAGGGTCTGCCCCACCCTTGCAGACTTGGCCCCTGGGTCATAACTTTGAAACGGTTGAGATCCCCACCCCAAAACTATATATACAAATGCTGGGCAAAAAGAGACATAGTTACTGAGTCAACGCTTGGAAACAGTTGAGATCCCCACCCCATAACCATACATAAAATTGCTGGGCATGAAAAATCTAATATAGCTATGCTACAAGGATTGGCCTTGGTGTCTGTCATATTCTCTTGATCTCATTTGGAGAATATTTTGCCATGTTTTCTTAGGTATCCAGGTGAGCGATACAGGCCCTCTGGGCCTCTTGTATATATATGTATGCCTGTAATGTTTATATACGTAAGAATGTAAAAGTAACATAATGGAAAATGGTAGACTGGATTCTGACTTTGAGTTTGTCTCAAGAATTTCTTCAGAATATTGATTGGTTGTATGTTTTCATGAAAGAGGCTTTTTGGATGAGATTAAATCATGCGGAAATTACATGCCGTCATATGGGCTAAAATATTTCCTGACTTTCACAAGCAGTCCGAGCAGTATTTTACCTGTGTGTGGGAGGGCTAGCATTAAACGTAGTACGGAAATAGAAACACATCATGATTAATTGGAAGTGCTTTCCCAATCAATCTTGTGACAGAAATCAATGGAGAGAATTCTCGAGGGTTCTACTTATAAAAATGTTGTCAGATATTTCATACTGAGGTGAGGATATAAACGATGGTTTTGGGAGAGTACCACTTTGACTAAAACATTTCATGATTTAAAAAATGTTGATGTATGATTGTATCTGAATGCTCCTGTTTTACCTAGTTGGTTAAATAATACAAGTCATGCTTGTTTTGTATCTAAAATAAAATTAATTATTGTTGAACAGAACCAATAAAAAGAACAATTCTTTTTTAAATATTAGCTTAAACTAGTTGAAACATCCATAGATCACATTTGTTACACAGCTAAACCTCTTTCTGCTAATCAGCTAAGTTTTGGCATTATGGAGGGGTTTGGTGAAATATTGAAGATGATTTGTAAGGGATTGTTGGGAAATATAGGAAAAACAGACATTGAAAAATGTTTGCAGTAGCTAGGCATGGTGATCATGATGGCGCAAATGAAACCAGGGGAATTAAAATTACATTGTTTGATGTTTGAAGCACTTTTGAAGACATTTCTAATAATATGTATTTATGAATTTGAGATGATTTTTCCTGGGACATCTCTGATTTATATTACGTATCAATGATATTATCAATGCATTGTTTGTCGACAGTTTGTTGAGGACTATGAGCCGACCAAGGCGGATTCCTACCGTAAGAAGGTAGTCCTAGACGGAGAGGAGGTCCAGATAGACATCCTAGACACTGCAGGACAGGAAGACTATGCAGCTATCAGAGACAACTACTTCCGCTCCGGGGAAGGATTCCTCTGTGTCTTCTCCATAACAGAACAAGAGTCATTTCAGGCCACAGCAGAATTTAGGTAAGAACATGTTATACCAGGGTAGAGACTAGGGTGATCAACAGTAGACTAGGCTGTAGGTAAGACCATGTTATACCAGGGTAGAGACTAGGGAGATCAACAGTAGACTAGACTGTAGGTAAGACCACGTTATTCCAGGGTAGAGACTAGGGTGATCAACAGTAGACTTCAGACTTTAGGTAAGACCATGTCATACCAGGGAAGAGACTAGGGTGATCAACAGTAGACTACAGACTGTAGGTAAGACCATGTTATACCAGGGAAGAGACTAGGGCGATCAACAGTAGACTAGACTGTAGGTAAGACCACGTTATTCCAGGGTAGAGACTAGGGTGATCAACAGTAGACTACAGACTGTAGGTAAAACCATGTTATATCAGGGTAGGGACTAGGGTGATTAACAGTAGACTAGACTGTAGGTAAGACCATGTTATACCAGGGTAGAGACTAGGGTGATCAACAGTAGACTACAGACTGTAGGGAAGACCATATTATACCAGGGTAGAGACTAGGGGGATCAACAGTAGACTTCAGACTGTAGGTAAGACCATGTTATACCAGGGTAGAGACTAGGGTGATCAACAGTAGACTTCAGACTTTAGGTAAGACCATGTTATACCAGTGTAGAGACTAGGGTGATCAACAGTAGACTACAGACTGTAGGTAAGACCATGTTGTACCAGGGTAGAGTGATCAATAATACAGTAAAAAATTGTGTAATTTGCGCATTTAAAAAAAAAAAAAATTACTGCCCAAAGTAGGGGGTGTGCAGAATACATAAGTGTCAGCAATTTCAAGGTTTATGCTTCTGGCAGACCGCCATCTTGGACACAAGATAATCTCCCTTGGGACACGGAACTCAAAGACAAACGACGATCAACACATTTGTTTATGTCAAACATCAATAAGAGAATAGGTAACTGTTAACAAAGAAAGTTTAGCCAATTCCTATACCAGAGAATCGCTGATCAACTTACGTTTCGACAGTTCGGCACGTTTTCCCCATACTATTACGAAAATGTAGTTGTTCAATTCTAAGCTCCGTTCCATGTAATTTCTGTTAGTTTTTTTTTTCAAATGGCCTATGCGTACATCATGGGTTTTTTCCCGGCTCACTTTCCTGTTGATAATTAAATGAAGCATCGTAAAAAATTAGTCTGCTTTGATTTTTAGCTCACCTGGCACGAAGTGAAAGGTATAGAATCTTTATTTTTTGATTGATGGCTTCCTTGGATAGAGCCCAACAAAGTTTGAGAATGAAAATGACCTTGACCTTCTTTCAAGGTCACAGGAGTCAAATGTGTCAGACACTTCAAACGACTTCTTCTGAAGAACTGAAAGGAATATAATCTCAATATTTGGCTTGTAGCTTCCTAGGAAAGAGCCGAACAAAGTTTGAGAAAGAAAATGACCTTGAATTTCTTTTAAGGTCACATGAGGCAGATATGTCGAACACTTTAAACGACTTCTTCTGAAGAACTGGTAGTTACAAAATCTTAATATTTGGCAGGTGGCTTCCTGGGAAAGAGCCAAACAAAGTTTGCGAATGAAAATGACCTTGACCTACTTTCAAGGTCACAGCGTTCAAATATGTCAAACAGTTCAAACAGCTTCTTCTGAAGAATTAAAAGGCATAAAATTATAATATTTGGCTGGTGACTTCCCGGGATAGAGCTCACCAAAGTTTGCAAATGAAAATGACCTCAACCTACTTTAGAGGTCACAGAGGTCAACAACATTTTAATGGATTTGTTCTTGAGAACTAAAAGTAATGGATTCATAAGATTTGGCTGGTAGCTTTTTGGAATAGAGCTAACCAATTTGAGAAGGAAAATGACATTGACCTACTTACAAGATCACAGGGAAAAAGTATGTCAAGCAACTTCTTAAGAAGAATCAAAAAGCATAGAATCTTATAATAATATTTTGCTGGTAGTTTCAACAGATGGAGCCAACAAAGTTTGCGAGGGAAATAGTTTTAGTGCAATAAGATATTTAATGAGAATATTTTGCTATGACTGCTTAAATATTCAGGTGGTCTGTCGATCGCGACTGTAAATTATTTCAATTAAATTTCAGTATACATGTAGCTATTGTTAATCGGTAATCACATTTACAGATAGAGTGTTGGCTAATTACTGCATTGTAATTTGTATTAACTGTGGTGTTGAGAAGTGTCAATAATCTTAGCTGAAGCATGCGATCCTACCTGGCCTATTGTCCTGGACCAGACAGCGTCGGTGGTTATGCCCTCCGGTTAACTTACCTGTAAATGTCGCCAAACCAGCAGTCATGACCACAGATGACGGGTGGTCGGGTGGTGCAGTGGATAGCGCGCTTGTCTTTCACAAAGGTGGCTTGGGTTCGATTCCCCGATTGGACGTGAAAAGGTTGGGGTCACCTGCCCGACCACGTGGGTTTTCTCCAGGCACTCCGGTTTCCTCCCACACTAAGACTAACATCTGGGCCAACAAGTGTGATTAATATAAGTTGAAATAACTTGTTTCATAATTGTTGTAAAATAAATAAAGTTGATGACAGATGACCGATTTTAATGATTTTACAGTAGGTAAAAATTGTGTCGCCACAAAATATCGCCAAACTGAACTGTGACATGACCTGGTTTGAAGTGACGATCCGCCATGATGAGCCCTTCTCACTGATCGTAATTATGATCAATAAAAGGTATCTAATTATGTCGTTCACCAGGAGATATGCACCAGCGGTTACCAAACATTGAATTACTTATTAATTGATATGTTCTTGTAAGCAAGTAAATTTTTTATTTAAAATATTGCTAAAATGAATTGATGTATGCCGATATGCGCACACGTGTGATCAGATATATTTCAAAGGAAACAAACAACAAAATACACATTTTACGCAGTTTCTCCTTAGTTTTTTACATCATTGTACCTGCAAACAATACCTATGAACTCACTTATAATAAACAAATTTTGTATATGTCAAAAGTAAATATAAGTTGGTTCAGGGGGATTTAAAATCTGAATTACAAGGAGCAGGGATCCTGATTCATTGGTAGACCTATGCACATACTTCAAATGTTGATAACAATAAATTGGTCTGAGATATGTGAACATAGAGCACGAAGAAGGAGATTTGTTTTCATACGGTACTGAAAAACTACAGTGCTTTTATGGTGCAGCTCTTGCCTACCCCAATAAGTATCAGTGTGTTAAGTGGAGAAAGTGGAACAGTATAAAGATGATATATAATAATGGTTTCCTGTATCAAAAGTTTTGCACTTGTACTTAGTGTGAGCAAAAATATCAGTATATTCTGTCTTTTGAGTAAATATATATATGGTGTTCATGCGGAACAGCATTGGATTTTCTATTTATCAAATTTTAAACTAACTACAACCACAAAAAAAGTTAGTGCAAAAGAGTAATTATAGTGTAATTTTTGGCGCTGTATTTTAAAGACTTCATGCTTGACAACAAGGCTGCATGCCATTTTGAACAAACCTGTCAGCATATTCTTAACATTTTCTGCTGTTATCTGGTAAAATGTGCTTACAAAACATCAGTTGTGTAGAGTATTGAACAGAGGTGTGCCAAACAACCACTTGTTCTGTCCCTTCATGTTTGGATGCTCTGAATAGTACCAAAATGATACCTTCACACTCGGTAAAATATCACTTTTATATGTCACAGTGTGAAATATATCAGATTTATCAAGTTGGTAGAATTCAATATCTCTGTAGGTAAAATGTAATAAATATCACTATGTAGTGAAGAGGGTGTGACAGTGCAATATGTATCAATATATAGCGGACAGACTGTGACAGGACAATTTGGTGCCTCCAGGCTAGGCTTGGTCTGTAGCTGGAAACATTACTTCTCTCCAGCAGTCAGCTCTGACAGCCTGATGGCTGCTGTAGGGAAACAGTTCTGTCTGGTGGCAAACAGCAGCAACGATGGATAGGCTGGCTCCATATACCATAAGCTAATCAAGGTATCTTCACATGCATCTACAGCGAGATTTTGGAAATAAATAACAGAATGAGTAGCCAATGGAAGGACACTCCATATCATTTATAACACATACATTGAAGTTTTCAGTTAATTAAATATGTTTGCTTCGTTATAGATAAGAAGACATGTTGAAGTTATCCTCCCAAAATAATTTGTATATATGTTTTGAATTTTTTCAATTAAAAACGATAGATATCACCATTGATTTAGAGGTATTTGATTAAGTCCAGGCCTGATTTCACCAACAGATGGAGTCCCCAACTTAAATGAAATATTATAAAGTGTAACAGGAGAGAAAAATGCAACAGGGCTGTACTAGGATTCGAACCCCGGACAATAAGCTCTAGATAGAAAATCAAACATACTGAGTCACTAGCAGTTACCCAGTCCGGCTCCACCATAATTCTTGGGTAAATTCAGTTTATGACAGATTAAAGTGTGTTAAGTTTGTGTAATGAGCTGGCCAGATCACTAGCTCTGTTAGGTAGGCATGGTTAGAACTGCTCTGTATTACTGTGAGACACATGAGTGTTAGGAGATCACTAGCTCTGTTAGAGGTAGACATCGTAAGAACTACTCTGTATTACTGTGAGACACATGAGTGTTGGGAGATCACTAGCTCTGTTAGAGGTAGACATGGTTAGAACTGCTCTGTCTTACTGTGAGACACATGAGTGTTAGGAGATAACTAGCTCTGTTAGAGGTAGACATGGTTAGAACTTCTTTGTATTACTGTGAGACACATGAGTGTTTGGAGATCACAAGCTCTGTTAGAGGTAGACATGGTTAGATCTGCTCTGTATTACTGTGAGACACATGAGTGTTGGGAGATCACAAGCTCTGTTAGAGGTAGACATGGTTAGAACTACTTTGTATTACTGTGAGACACATGAGTGTTAGGAGATCACAAGCTCTGTTAGAGGTAGACATGGTTAGAACTGCTCTGTATTACTGTGAGACACATGAGTGTTGGGAGATCACAAGCTCTGTTAGAGGTAGACA